TAGAAAACATTTTATAAAAAAATAATTTGAAGAACATAAATAGACAGTTTTTAAGAATATAGAGGGTAAATTAAACCACATACTCGGTACCATAAAGAAATGATTAAATTATGCAATGAACCTACAAACCAAAAAAGAAAAACAAAAGTATTAGTAACAAAAAAAATCATTAGTAAAAGTGAGATACAAAAGGGTAAGAACAAAAGTATGAAAGGATAGAATCATAGAAATAAACACCTCAAATTTTTATCAAGACATGAAAAAAGCAAAAATAATATGAAAGATTGGTACACAATCCTACATATATACACGAAATTATTAGGATTGTACATAATTAGGGCTAGACGTAATATATATTATGATAATTACTAAAAATATAAATATGGTATTTTCTAATTATTTTAGTATATATATAGAAATTAGCATATTATTTTCTTATATTACGTTAAGATAAATATAGAAAAAGTTAGGGTAAATATAGAAGATTAACATTTTAATTGATGAATGAGCTCTATATCATACCATGACTTAAAAAGAGTTTTCAAGATTTTTTTGACCTTTGGTCTCGTCCAAAACCCTAGCCTTCATTAATAATGTCTCTGATCCGCCGCGTGATCCTTGGTCGGCGGTTCTGCACCGCCGTGCCAAGAAGAGCGGAGGACGTAATGTCAAACCCAGATTGTCGTCCTTTTCAGCTAAGCTTGAGAGTGATGTACCTCTCCTCCGTCGACAACTTAGACACGGCGGCGAAGTACGCTCGTTTGGCCGTCTTCAGCAGAATCAAAGCAGAGGACACGGAGGCAGCAGAGGACACGGAGGTTACATGTCAATCCATAATCAAAAGTATGGTATGGCATAAAAGGCACAAGGAGGCCTACGATCTCTACGATTTCTTCTTCAACCAGCATAAACTCAAACCCAATCGCCGCAGCTGCAACTCCATCCTCGAGTCTCGTATCCAACAAGGTCTTGTCGACGAAGCTCTTGATTTCCACCGATCCATCAAACCCGGCATGGCCCGTTATTACCCAAGCGAAGATACTTTCAGGGTCTTGAACAAAGGATTAGTCAACTCCGGTCGGTTGGACCAAGCCGAAACCTTGCTTAAAGGCGGGAAAGCAGTGGATAGGGGCATCTACCCTGATCACGTGGCTTTCAGCAATCTGATTAGAGGGTTTTTGGATCTTGGGAATTTAGACAAGGCGACTCTAGTCTTGGAAGATTTCAAAAAGGTTTGTTCTCGTATTGACCCTTCAAGTTATTATCCATATCATCCTCCTTTCCATGGGGAATTCGAAAACAGAGTCGCCTTCCTGATGGCGGCGTTCGTGGAGTACTGGTTCAAGCAAGGCAAAGAGATGGAAGCTATGGAGTGTTACAACCAGTCTTTGTTCGCAAACAAGTTCCCGGTTCTGGCATACACCGGTGACGCCTTCTTGGAAGTCCTGCTCAAATACGGTAAAAAAAAACATGCTTGGGACTTGTACCATGGCATGTTAACTGCGACACATAAGAGATGCTTTGGCTATTCTACGGTTAAGACTATGGTGAACGAGTGTTTTGATATGGGTCGGTGTAGCGAGGCAGTCGAGACCTACAACAAGGCGAAAGAGAAGAAGAGGTTCGTAAGGGGCAGCTACGTTATCACAAGGTGCTGCGAGATGGGGCTGTTGTCGGAAGCAGAGTCTCTCATTGCTGCTGATGGTTTCGAATATATTGAGGGTACCACTTTCAAGACAATGATGGATGCTTATGTAAGGCCGGGAGAATCGATGATGCTTTAATAACCTCCAACAAGATGATCGATTCAACTCTAAAGGACCTTTCCCGTCTTTTTTGACCATTCTTGTGCTCTTATTATATATACCAGTACTTGTTTTAGATAATGATACTGTTGTTACTTATGACTACTTCGGATAATTACTTTAGTACGTTTTCTCCATCACCCCATACTCGTAGCCTTCTTTCTCCAAATAAAGTGCAAAGTCTTTGAGAATCGTGATAAGAAGCTGCGCGTTGTCGAAAGCCTCTTGGCTTGCAAATTGGCTGAAAATGCAACCTAATTGGGCTCTCCTTAAAGATCTTAACAGCTTGTTGAACGTTCCGTGTATGGTTCGAACTTCGTTGAATGAGAGATTTGCTGAATTCAATGAGATGTTCGTTCACCAAGTGGATTAGATTCCCGCTTACAGCGAAACCATCTAGACTCTCTCTCTTGAAGCTTAAGATTCCTGTTGACTTTAGGTGCAAGTTTTTCTTCACTTTCCTGAAACAATAGCGTAGCGTAGGTTTAAAATAAAAATACAGGCCCAATTGAGAAGCAATGTTGAGTCCCATCAATGCAACATTATCCAATAAAACGTTTTATGGCCCATTTGCATCAATGTGACAGACATTTCAAGGGGAAGGTTTTTTTTTTTTCTTTTAAACAGAGTAATCATTATCTCATAGGGTGCAGCAATAACCAGGGAAAAATAATAATATTAGCAATCTAAGCAAAATAACATGATGTTGAGAAATGAGAATCATTAGATTAAAGGACCATTTGGTTAGTTAGTGATTAATGTTATTTTAGCCAATTTTCCTATCTCATATGTTAATGGAAGTTGATTAACAAAAAAGAAACCATGCAAGACATTTTGTTTTTCTGAAAACGGCAAAGATTTGGTCATTTCCAATAATAACCAAAAAAAAAAACTATAATTAGAAATTTAAAAAAATTT